TAGGTATTCACTTGATGATAACTAATCTCATGTAAGCATATGGATTATGGGTATTTTATGGTTCTATAACGTGTACAATAGCCATGTCAGAACCTGAACGATACCATGTGAGACAGGTTTAAATTCTTGTTTTGGCTTAGCGCGGCATGAGGATAAAACGGCTACTCTCGCTAGATATCATAGACGGTGGTTTTGCTCATTGCACGCCTATCTGGAGCAATTCATTTTATTCATATTGTAAGTGAGGCATCATTGATTGTCGCAGATTACTTATATCATTATATGACATATGTTCAAGAGGATATTATATTATTCCTGTTACAATAATTTTTTCAACCAATTGATATTTTTGAAACAATAGATTATAGAAACATTGAAATATTTTTCTATTTAGTAAGATAATTATGAAGAAGATATTAAAATTGAAATAAGGGTAAGTTGATAACCCTGCTAGTTGGTAAAGGAAGGCTTCCTGTCAGAACTTCCAACAGTAGAGAGACATGCTAAGATTAGGGTTACTCTAACCGAGAAAAAAAATGCAAAGGACAGAAGGGAACTATACAGATAAAGAACTCATAAATGACATGACCGTTCTCTTCTTCTGCATCAATGGACAAAAGCTAATGCACTATTCAAACCACCTGTGATTAATCAGTATTGAACTATTGAGCTAAAACTAACTAATTATAACAAAGCTTGGTTACAGTATCTACTTAGTAAAAAGAAGCCAGCCCGGAAAAATGAATTTCTGCACACACTTGATACTCTGTTTGACATTTTGACCTGCAAGTGCTCCATACAATTATGTTCTGAATCAGCTGTTCTCACTCAGGTAAGAGAAAATCATTCCCATTGATTGTGTGGTTGTCCTCATCGAAAAAAGAAAGTCCCTGTTTACAGGGCTTAAGATTTATAAAGGCACAGAAAGGACAAGGCAGAAGGCCAGGGGTATGCAAATGGGTTCAATAGATTATTCAAGAAACTAGTAGATTGCTAATGCCAGAAAGAAGGAACAAATCCGAGAGAAGAACAAAAAAGAAGAAAATGAAAATTGAAGAAAGCCATCAAAGAGAGAGGAAGAGCTGTGTCAAGATGTTTATCACTTCTTTGATAGTTCTTCTGATGAACAAGAGCAACATCAGATGATGGTTCCAAGAGAGCCATCCTGAACCTTTGCAAGAAAGTAAAATACAACACAAAATATTTCAAACATTGCTTTAACTAGTATTCCTTACCATCTTCTGGACTTTATTGAGGAATGCAGAAATTGCAACTTTGCCGCTTGGATAAATCTGAAACCTCATCAACCGAGAGGATGTATCTTTGGTGATAGATCATAATAAAATTAGAAGAGCACAAAAAAATAATGAAGAGTATCAATCATGAAAAAGATTTAGCGAGGGAGGCTCTCTATCTTTTGTTTAGTCGGAAGACCATGACAACCTAAAGTTTTGGTAGAAGTAGAGGTGAATGAAGAGTTTCCAGGTCCTGTCAAAGAGAACACTACTCTGTCTGTTACCAGCCTGGTGGTCGATTTTGTTTTCACTTTGCTCCCGAAACTGGTAGAAGGGAAAGAAACATGCAGAAGTCATTGCTGATCTATGTTGGGTTCAGGAGAAGGACTTGGCAGTTCGCTTTGCAGGCTGTTGGTGGAGATTCAACAAAGTGAACCTGCCGGATGGCAGGGGGTTATGGCCGACGCATTTAGGAGAAAAAAGCAGGAAGAAGACATTTGGATTGTATGTGACGAGTTTACATACAGGCGAGCTACCTCTTCGTCATCATCCAGGAACAGTAGTTACCACAAAAGAGCAACAACAAATTGGTCAGGTCCCCTTGGCATCATGCTGGATGAAGCAACACAGCTAGAAATAATACAATACTACCAAAAGGTCGAAGTTGGCCCTCCCCTTCGGCGTTGTCTGAAGGAGTCATCAAAGATCTCAGCACAGATCAATCCTAACACTGCTTATCATGCCCAAACAATAAGATCAGGAGAAGATGCCTCGATCATTGGCTCTCTTGGAATTGGACTATCAGTCACAGCCGTTGGTTAACTACAGCTCTTCGTTTCTGCAGGATTTGGATTTCCAAACCGCAAGATTGGAAGGTAAAGTGCTGAAAATTTGAGTTTAATTGTTGAATTTATTATTGGAGTTTATCTTCCCAGTGGTTTTAAGTGTGACTTAATCCTATAGCAGCGGGTGGATGGGCCCAATCACCTTTTGTTTCAATTGCAGCTAACAGCTAGAACACAGAGGTAGTGAGGACATCCGTACCTGTGGCAAGAAGGTCCACTTGGTAATGCTCGATCAGAAGCAGTTTTGCAACAATGCTTTGCAGTCAATGCAATCTCCGAACCGGGCTGTAGAAGTCATTCCCTAAAGATTAGAGGAACGCTAATAGATGACGACCAGTTGGGAGACATTCGTTCATTCAAGAAAAGTTCCCCCAATAAACGTCAATGCCACCAAATTGTCAGAATTGGTGGCTTGAGTTTGGAAATGCCAAACCACATGACAACAAGTCCTAATAGCCAAGAATTGAGAAACCCAAAGAGACTCCAATGCAGGTGCCAGTGGCCTTCCCACACTCAAGTGTGGAAGATGTGTGAAAATGGTCACAAAGCAGCAAGGCCATGTTTACAGCCACAGAGAGGCAGAAGGTTACATCAAAGCACAAATAGCAAGCAGACTACTGATGACAAAAACCAAAACAAAGAGAGTATAGAGGCATTGGTTACTTTCAAATAGACCACGGATAATAAAAATATAATAATTTGAGAAACTTGAAACAGTAACATGTATTACCAGAAACGCTGGTTATGTTATAAATTCACAAATATATTTTTAAAAATCCACATTTGATGTGGGTAGACTTATTATAAAAAAAAATTTATGCCAGAATATTGTTTTGCATGCTTAAAGACTACAATAAGTACACAAATTACTCAGATTTTCAATTTTAAGCCAGTTCACCCCTAAATTGACACCCTAGGTGTGTGTATACCAGTGGTCAGGACATTGGGTGTTACAGAGTTTGTTTGTTTATTTGTGTACTGTACACAGGAGTTGACTTATTCACATCTGTGTGAGTGACATACTGCAGTGTGAGGCCATATGTCTGGCCACACACTATATTCTTCACATCTGTACGAGGCCTTCAAGTGTTTAGTCCTATACACCACGTCGCTACTCGGTGCAAAAAAGTGGATACAATCTTAATATGTCGGCTATCTTGCCATTAGAGATGAAGTGTTGTGCCATTTCACACACAGTGTGCTTGGACCTGTCCCTAAAAGGTTCTATCTTCACACAGTCGAGGACTTAGTAATTAAGTGTGTGGCCATATGTATGGCCACACACTTTACATTTAGTCCTGTTTACATCTGCGTGAGGAACATACTGCCAGAGTACTTATATCCTAACCTTAGTCTAGCGGTTACAACATCTTGTAATCTCGTGATCTTGTTACTTGCTCCATACATGTTCCACTGATACTGCATTGACTAGTGCCTGCTTGTATTGTCTGCTGGTGTCAAATTCATCAACAAGTTGTTTCCAAATGACAGTTTCCAGGGAGGAGGCGGGGTGAGGGTGAGAGGACCGATGGGGAGAGAGATTCTGAAATATTATCTCTACCGAGGTGATGGGCGGGGTGGAGGGTGTGGTGGGGCGGGTGGTGGGCGGGAGGTGGAAGCGGTGATTGTGGGGGTGGTGGAGGTGTGGGGTGGGGGGTGGTGGTGGTGGGGGTGGTGGTGGTGGTGGTGGTGGTGGATTTCTAGTTCCTCCTTTCTGTCTCTCCCTCTTTCCACCTTTTCTATTCCTTCTCATTCTCTCCTTCTTCTTCACTTCACCTTCTCCCTCTCACCTTGCCTTCTATTATTCCTCTCTCTCTCTCTCCTTCCCTGATTTATCACCCCCTATCTTCTTGACCTCCTTCCGTCAGGTCAGTGCTGTCCTTTCTCCCCTTCTCTCATCTACCATCTTTATCACCTCCTTCTTCTCTTCCCCTCTTCGCCACCTGCGTTTATTTGGCTCTTGTTACAACTTTCCACCTTTCTTCCTCTTCCTCTTCTCTTCCTTATACTCGTTATCATTTATCACACGTCCTTCTTCCTTCATTATCCACATTTCTCATTTCTTCTCCACCCTCCTCCTTCCTCTATTTCTTCCTTTCTTCTCCTTTCTTCCCCACATTCTTTCCTCCCTCCTCCTCTTTCCTCTATTCCTCCTTCTCTTCTATCCTCCTTCCATTTTTTCTTCCTCTTCTTCCTCCTCTTCTCCTCTCCTTCTCTCCTCCTCTTCTATCGTCTTTACTCCATCTCCCCAACTTCTCTTCCCTTCATATCATTTATCCCCTGTCTTTTAGTACCTTCTTCATCATTCATTCATTTTCTTCTCCTCCTCCTCCTCTCCCCTTCTTCTTTTATTCTCTACCTCCTCTGATCTTCGTCTCTTTCTTCCACTTCCTCTTTCTATTCCTTCTCCTGATCATACTTCTCATTTATCACGATCATCTTCTTCTTCTTCGTCTTCTTCATAATCTTCTTTCTTCTTCTCCTCCTCCTCCACTTCTTCTTCCTCTCATTTATCACCCTACCCTTATTCTCCCTTTCGTTACATATTCTCATCTAATTGTCTTTCATTTTATCAAGACACAGCTGGACCTTTTCCTCTTCCCTTATTCCTTCTCTCCTTATCTCACTCTCACACATTTTCCCTTTCTCTATCCGTATCTCTCATCACTTCTTTACTCTCCTGTCTCATCTCCCTCCCCTTTCTCCCTCTCCTTTCTCTCCCTACCTCTCACCTCTTTCTCCTCTCCCACTCTACCTCTTTCTCTTGAGCTCAATAATACCTCTTAATTAACACAACCTCTCTAACGCCCAGTGACCTCCAGGCCCCCACAGCTCCCACCGAAGGCTCCCTCATGGGGTAGTTTAAATCACCCCCGGGGAAACATTCACTGTCCCCACGAGCAGACCGTCACCCCCACAGGCAGGCCAAAGGACCTAAAGGCAGACCAGCGCCCCCACAGACAGGCCAGTGCCACCATAGACAAGCCAGGGCCCCACAGGCAGGCCATCGCCCCCACAGGCAGGCCAGCGCCCCCACAGGCAGAACAGCGCCTCCACAGGCAGAACAGCCCCCACAGACAGGCCAGTGCCCCCACAGGCAGGCCAGCGCCCCCACAGGCAGAACAGCGCCCCACAGGCAGACCAGCGCCCCCACACAGGCCAGTGCCACCACAGACAAGCCAGGGCCCCCACAGGCAAGCCAGCGCCCCCACAGGCAGGCCAGCGCCCCCACAGGCAGAACAGCGCCCCCACAGGCAGAACAGCTCCCTCACAGACAGGCCAGTGCCACCACAGACAAGCCAGGGCCCCCACAGGCAGGCCAGCGCCCCCACAGGCAGAACAGCGCCCCACAGGCAGAACAGCGCCCCCACAGACAGGCCAGTGCCACCACGGAGAAGCCAGGGCCCCTCATAGGCAGGCCAGCGTCCCCACAGACGCCAGCCCCCCACAGGCAACCCAGCGCCCCCACAGACTAGTCAGCGTCCCCACAGGCAAGGCCAGCGCCCCACACAGACAGACCAACGCCCCCACAGGCAGGGCAGCGCCCCCTCACAGGCAGGGCAGCGCCCTCACAGGCAGGCCAGCGCCCCACAGGCAGGCCAGCGCCCCCACAGGCACACAGCGCCCCACAGGCAAGCCAGGACCCCACAGGCAGACCAGCGCCCCCACAGACAGGCCAGTGCCACCACAGGCAAGCCAGGGCCCCCACAGGCAGGCCAGCGCCCACACAGCATGCCAGCGCCCCACAGGCATGCCAGCGCCCCCACAGGCAGACCAGCGACCCCACAGGCAGACCAGCCCCCACAGGCAGACCAGCGCCCCCACAGACAGGCCAGTGCCACCACAGACAAGCCAGGGCCCCTCACAGGCAGGCCAGCGCCCACACAAGCATGCCAGCGCCCCCACAGGCATGCCAGCGCCCTGCAGGCAGACCAGCGCCCCCACAGTACCACGAACAAGACCATTGTGGTTGCCTCACTCAGGCTCCAGGCTGGTGTTGGTGTTGGTGCCAGGTGGTGTTGGTGCCACTGACAGTTGGTGCCGATGGTGTTGGTGCCACTGACAGTTGGTGCCAGATGGTGTTGGTGCCACTGACAGGTGCCAGGTGGTGCTGGTTCCACCTGACAGGTGGTGTTGGTGCCACTGACAGTTGCCAGATGTGTTGTGCCACTGACAGTTGGTGCCAGATGGTGCTGGTGCCACTGACAGTTGGTGCCAGATGGTGCTGCAAGCTCCAGTTGGTGCCAGATGGTGTTGGTGCCACTGACAGTTGGTGCCAGATGGTGTTGGTGCCACTGACAGTTGCTGGAGCGAAAGCTGGTGCCACTGACAGTTGGTGCCAGATGGTGTTGGTGCCACCGACGTTGGTGCCAGATGGTGTTGGTACCGACAGTTGTGCCAGATGGTGTTGGTGCCACTGACAGTTGGTGCCAGATGGTGCTGGTGCCACTGACAGTTGGTGCCAGATGGTGCCACTGGACAGTTGCCAGATGGTGTTGGTGCCACTGACAGATGGTGCCAGATATGCCACGACAGTTGCGCCAGATGGTGTTGTGCCACTGACAGTTGGTGCCAGATGGTGCTGGTGCAACTGACAGTTGTTGAGATGGTGTTGGTGCCACGACAGCTGGTGCCAGATGGTGTTGGTGCCACTGACAGTTGGTGCCAGATGGTGTTGGTGCCACTGACAGTTGGTGCCAGGATGGTGCCACTGACAGTTGGTGCCAGATGGTGTTGGTGCCACTGACAGTTGTGCCAGATGGTGTTGGTGCCACCGACAGTTTGTGCCAGATGGTGCTAGTCAACAGGTGCCAGATGGTGTTGTTACCGACAGTTGGTGCCAGATGGTGCTGGTACTTAAGCTGGTGCCAGATGCGCCACTGACAGTTGTGCCAGATGGTGCGTTACCGACAGTTGCGCCAGATGGTGCTGGTGCCACTGACAGTTGGTGCCAGATGTGGTGCCACTGACAGTTGGTGCCAGATGGTGTTGGTGCCACTGACAGTTGGTGCCAGATGGTGTTGTGCCACTGACAGTTGGTGCCAGATGGTGTTGGTGCCCTGACAGTGGTGCCAGATGGTGCTGGTGCCACCGACAGCTGGTGCCAGATGGTGCTGGTGCCACGACAGTTGTGCCAGATGGTGCGGTGCCACTGACAGCTGGTGCCAGGTGTGCTGCCACTGACAGTTGGGGCAGTGGCACTGACAGTTGTGCCAGATGGTGGTGCCACTGACAGTTGTGCCAGATGGTGTTGGTGCCACCGACAGTTGGTGCCAGATGGTGTGCCACTGACAGTTGTTGAGATGGTGTTGGTGCCACTGACAGCGGTGCTGGTGCCACTGACAACGGTGCCAGATGGTGCGTTGGTGCCACTGACGGTTGGTGCCAGATGGTGTTCCGTGCCTGATGCAGTTTGCCACTGTTAGCGATGGTGTTGGTGCCACCTGATAGCCAGATGGTGGGGCCACCAAGTGCCAGATGGGTGGTCTTACTGCCGGTGCCGATGGTGCTGGTGCCACTGACGTGGTGTGTATTGCCAGATGGTGTTGGTGCCACGACAGCTGGTGCCAGATGGTGTTGGTGCCACTGACAGTTGGTGCCAGATGGTGTTGGTGCCACTGACAGTTGTCCAGATGGTGTTGTGCCACCGACAGTTGGTGCCGGGTGGTGTTGTGCCACTGACAGTTGGTGCCAGATGGTGCCACTGACAGTTGTGCCAGATGGTGTGGTGCCACTGACAGTTGTGCCAGATGGTGCTGGTGCCACCGACAGCTGGGTGCCAGATGGTGTTGGTGCCACTGACAGTTGGTGCCAGATGGTGTTGTGCCACTGACAGTTGGTAGATGGTGTTGGTGCCACTGACAGTTGGTGCCAGATGGTGTTGGTGCCACTGACAGTTGGTGCAGATGGTGTTGATGCCACTGACAGCCGGATACACATATTTATTTACCTCTCACCATCATTCTCACTCCTCCCTTTACTTCCATCTGTCTCAATTCTTTCCATTTATCTTCCTCCGCCTTCTCCTCCTCCTTCTCCTCCCTCCTCCTTTCTTCACTTTCATCTCATCATCTTTCTCCTCTATTTCCTCTTTCTTCTCCGCCTTCTTCCCTTTCTCATTTTCATTTTTTCTTTCTTCCTCTTCTCTCCTCTTCCTACCCTACAACTCTTCACCCATACCTTCTTGTTCTTTTTCTACCTCATCTTCTTCTCCCTCCCCCTCTCCTCTTCCTCCTCTTCCTCTTTCTCCTCCTCCTCCATTCATTAAAATTATCTGAATGAACTGCTCACCACGACACGAGCACGTCACCACCATCCATTCATAGTCCCCTTACACACGCACACACACTCACACACGCACACGTACTCACACACACACGCACACACTCGCACACTCACTCACACACAATCTTCCTTGACGCTTTTGTTGTGTTGTGTTATTATTATGCTGTGTTATGTGCTGCAGTTGTACTATAATGTGTTGTATTGTGTTTAAATTATAATGTGTTGTGTTGCGTTGTATTATATTATGTTGTGTTGTATTGTGTTGTATTATAATGTGTTGTGTTATACCATTGTATGTTTATAATGTGTTGTGTTGTGTTGTGTTAGCTATAACAGCAAATTATATTGGTCTGTATTATAATGTGTTGTGTTGACGTGTTGTATTATAATGTGTTGTGTTATATTGTGTTGTATTATGTTGTGTTGTGCTGTATTTGTATCATAATGTGTTGTGTTGTGTTAAAGTTGTAATATAATGTATTGTGTTGTGCTGTGTTAATCATAATGTGTTGTGTTATATTGTTGTATTATAAATAAAATTTGTAGAAATATTTATATTATAATATGTTGTTTTGTGCTGTGTTGTATTATAATATGTTGTGTTGTGCTGTTTTGCATTACTATAAAATGTTATGCTGTGCCAAAGCAAATATTATAATATGTTGTGTTATAAAAAGTTGTATTATAATGTGTTGTGTTGTGCTGTGTTGAAAATATATGTTGTGTTATACGGTACAAAATATAATGTGTTAGTTTGCTGTAATGCATTATGTTGTGTTGTGTTGTGTTGTACAGTATTATAATATGTTATGTTGTGTTTTGTTGTGTTGTGTTGTGTTGTGTTGTATTATAATGTGTTAGTGTTGTGCTGTGTTGTATCATAATGTGTTGTGTTGTATTGTGTTATATCATAATGTGTTATAATATATTGTGTTGCATATAATGTATTTGTGTTGTGCTGTGTTTGTATTATAATGTGCTTGTGTATGTGTTGTGTTATGTTGTATTATAATGTAAGTTGTGTTGTATTGTGTTGTATCATAATGTATTGTGTTATATTGTGTTGTATTATAATGTGTTATATTTGTGCTGTGTTGTATCATAATGTATTTAAGTTATATTATTTTGTAATATAATGGTATGCTGTATGTGTTGTATCATAATATGTTGTGTTGTATTATGTTATATCATACCAAAGTGTTAAATTGTATTTATATAATATGTTGTACCAGCTCGTATTATAATGTGTTGTGTTGTATTGTGTTGTATTATAATGTATTGTGTTGTGCCAGTTGCATTATAATGTGTTGTGATATAATAGTTGTATTATAATGTGTTGTGCTGTACTGTTGTAACATAATGCTAGTTATATTGTGTGTATCATAATGTGTTGTGATAAATTATTTTACATTATAATGTGTTATGTTGTGCTGTTTTGTATCATAATGTGTTATGTTGTACTGTGTTGTATTATAATGTGTTGTAAGTTGTGCTGTGTTGTATCATAATGTTTTGTGTTATATTGTTTTGTATTATAATATGTTGTGTTATCTGTTGTATCATAATGTTTTGTGTTATATTTAATATTATAATGTGTTGTTGTGCTGTGTTGTATTATAATGTGTTGTGTTGTACAGTTGCATTATATCTCATTGTGTTATGCTGTGTTGTATCATAATGTTTTGTGTTATATTGTACTTGTATTATAATGTGCCGTGCCGTTTTGTATTACAATGTGTTGTGTGTGCTGTGTTGCATTATACTGTTGTGTTGTGTTGTAACGCATTATAATATGTTGTATGTTATGTTATGTATTGTGTTATGTTGCATTATAATAAAGTGTTGTTGTTTTGTTTTGTTATGTGTTACTTGTCTACAGTGATGAAGACAATAACTCTACTGGGTAGATAGAAACAACAAAAAAAACTTACCCATTGTTTCACCTGCCCGGGATCAGAACCTGGGTCCAGTTGCTTGCGAGGCGAGAATGCTGACTATTACACCATAAGCACGCACACACACACACACACACACACACACACACACACACACACACACACACACACACACACCAAAAGGTTTCCATAACAAAAAAAACAACAAACAACAACAGAAGAAGAACAACAACAGAGACAACAGGAGGACAACAGAGACAACAGGAGGACAACAACAGAGACAACAGGAAGACAAA